TACACAAGAAAAATGGTATAGCACTAGTGAACCAACCTTGAGATGGTTCAAATCGTATTTATGCGATCGAACTCAAACATGCGGTATTTCGGGATCACTATCTAACCCTCTCACGTTGCCACAAGGCGTTCCACAAGGCGTTCCACAAGGCGTTCAACAAGGATCAAGTTTGGGTCCCGTCCTCTTTTCACTTTATATTAACGACTTACCTCTTTGCCTACCAACTTCTGAAGTTGAAATATATGCTGATGATACAACGCTAGGGACTTCCGATCACTCTACTGATCATATCCAACAGAATTTGAAAGTCAGCCTAAACAATGCTAGCAATTGGTTCAAGTTAAACAAAATGGTACTTAACACAAAGAAGACGAAACACCTACTCATAGCTACACAACAGAAATTGAAATACGCTGACAATCCAACCTTAGATCTTTAGTAAAATGGCAACCGCATGGAAGAAACCTTGGTTAGTTGTCATTGCTAATGACAACTAACCAAAAGCAACTCACAGGATGTTTTGGAAGTTTTCGTCTTCTGCCTCTTCTAGCCCAGAGAAAAACAAACCCTTGTTTCACTTGTTGGTTGTAAAAAGAAGAAGAAGAACCTTTATTAATTTATACCACACTAAACATATAAATATTACACTAATACAGGTAGTAATATAAATAGAAAACTATTTACAAGTAAAAGATTAAAAGATGTATAACACGAAATATCATTAAGATAATTCGTTAAAAATAGCGCAACCATAATAATAGAAGGATCTTTTCGCAATCTCAGTTCTCACGGCAGGCGGATGTAAGAGGTTGCTTTGTCTAGCAGCGCGCGCATGGATTGTATTATTACGTTTAAAATATTGTTTAAAATACTGGGGACATTGACCTTGCAGGCATTTCTTAACGAGTTTAAAAACAGATTTACGTCGGCGCTCCTCCAACGTGGGCAACTCCAGAACGTCCATTGCCTGCTTGTTGCGCACGGTTCTAGCCACTATCCTAGCAGCCCGGTTTTGGAGGGCTTCAAGGTCTTGTTTGCGACCTTCCCCGCAACAGCCCCACACACTTACACAGTATTCTAACATTGGCCTAATTAGACTACAATACACTACCTTTGCACTCTCTCTAGTAAGGCTTCTACGAAGCCTGCTAAGCATTCCTACGAGTTTTCCCGCCTTCAAAATTAGGTGCTTTATTTGCTCGTTCCAGCTAAGGCGGTCAGCAAAAACTATACCTAGATAAGTGAAGTGGAAAACCCGCTTAATTACATTGTTATTTAAAGTAATAGAAAAAGAGTTAACAGCAGATAATCTAGGGGCGGTTTCGAAAATCATAGCTTCAGTTTTTGTTAAATTAGCAAACAGACTATTCAAAGAAAGCCAGTGATCAATTTTAGAGAGTTCAGCATTCAGCTTGTCTTGAATGACAGAGGTTTGAGAGGATGAACAGTATAAAACAGTGTCATCAGCGTACATCAGAATATTGCAATCGGACACTACTTCCAGTAAATCATTAATGTGTAGAATAAACAATAGCGGTCCGAGGATAGAACCCTGAGGGACTCCAGTAGAGACGGCTTCTGAAGTAGAAGCCACCCCTTGAAACTCTACAACCTGGGTGCGGTTCGACAGGTTATCCGTAAACCAGCCATGCTCTTTATCCAAAATCCCCAAATTGGAAAGCTTGTCCAGTAGAACCGCATGATCCACATCGTCAAAAGCTTTGCGAAGGTCAATAAACACAGCACCAGTTAATTGCCCTTGGTCCATGTTCCTACGAATATTATCAGGAAAACTAAGAGCAGCGAATTCTGTCAAGTGACACTTCCGAAACCCTCACTAATAAGGGCTCAAAATCTTCTTTTGCTGGAGATATTTGTAGAGTTGGATATGTACAGCCCGATCTAAAACCTTAGATAAAAGAGGTAAAATGGAAATCGGGCGATAATTTTCCATTTCATCAGCCTTTCCCTTTTTAAAAAGTGGAATGACCCGCGCAGATTTCCAATCACTGGGAACTTGGGCAGTACGCAACGAGGTGTTGATAATAAACGCAACAGGCTTAGCTACAAGACCAACTTGTAAGACTTAGCTGTAAGACCATAGATCAAGACTTAGCTGTAAGACCATAGATCAAGACTTAGCTGTAAGACCATAGATCAAGACTTAGCTGTAAGACCATATACAACCCGACTCCAATTAATGGACGGTTTTCTTATTTACCCTTACAAAACGAATGATAAGAAATGAGGAGAACATTTATAAAAGGATGTTTTCCCTTCATAAAAAAAGGCAAACATAAGATTTAAATAAGCTATTTATTTAAATTAGCATGATTAATAATGAAAATCCGTCTAAACAAAATGCAATTTTAGTCTTTTATCATGACCGTCAGGACTGGATCGATAAATGTCAATATGCGAAGAGTAAGCTAAACCGACCTCTCCACTTGTAATAAAGAAAGCCCAAGCTCTGTTCTGGGATTATTTTAGGGACCGTGAATCATTCTCTCATGTATTTGTTTATCAGTGAGGTGATATTTTAAAGTTTTTAGATTGGAAAGACGAGGATGATTCAGAATTTGTTCCAAAGATGGGAAAAAGTGACCACAGTGAACTTCGCTACCAACGAGTAACATTAGCCATTCCACATTTACTCTAATATAACACTTTATTGACTCATCTCTGTGTGCGGAAAACTGGTTTTACAACACTGCTTCTCCCTCAAGGCAAAACCACAAAGCTTCATCGTCATTGTAGCAACGGATTGAGAAGATAAAATCGCCCTAATTTGCAATGACAAAAAATGCGTCAGTAGATACGTCAATATTATTTCGGTAGTCCCAAATTAGTTCGAAATTCAAAATAAATGCTCTGTCTTGAAGAATCGTAACAACAATACCAGCGAAATATTTAGTAGAACATATGATATGGTTTACTAATCGAATTTGAGATTGAAAATGTGATCTGGTAAACCTAATGTTTGGTTATAATTTGGATATATCAACAAGGTTGAAATGGTAAATTGGCCACCGTAACGATTACAAAAGCTAGCGTTTCGAGTGTTAGCCCTTCGTCGGAGCGAATACGAATTCGCTCCGACGATTACAAAAGCTAGCTTTTGTAATCGTTACGGTGGCCAATTTACCATTTCAACTTTGTTGATATATCCAAATTTTTTCGTGGTAAGATTAAACAAAGAGAAAAGCCTCTTTGCGGCTTTGCAAATAGCATATTTGTGTTAGTTATGCATCATATTATCTTTATCTCCAAAAACCCACTGACAGCAGTCAGATCTGTTGCAAAACAGAATTAGCCCAAGTTTAACACGCAACAATCACTTACCTCAAAACAAGGGTTCTGTTTGGCTTAAAACAAGTTATGTAATGTTTGTTTTCATTGGCTCACCTTAGATCGTTGCACGAAAATGCCAAGTCTGGTAGCAGCGTATTCCGGAAGCAATTTTTATACCTCTTAGTAACATTGTGAATGGATTGAAAGTGATTACAATAATTTTGCAATCGAGTAACTAACATTAAAGGCAAATACGAGACCGTTTTATTTTCACTCAGAAAGACAATGAGATTGAATCACTTGTTAAACGATGACAAGAACCATTTGCCACATTTGCATTTGACCCAAGATGCATGTGTCTCCTTATCAGTAACTTGACTTGAATATGATTTGTTTTGCTTTTAAATAAATACACGCTTAAAGAACGTGACAAGTTATGTTCCATGTTCACGTAAGCTGGGTGTCATATGAAAAAAACAATAATCTTTATGTATTGTGTAAGCTTTGTGTGCTAGCATGCCAGGGCAAACTTGTCGTTCTCTTTCATAATGTTTTCGAAAAAAAAAAACTTGGCTTCATTAAACTTGGTTTGTTTGATCGCGATCATTGAAATTTAAGGAAATAAAATCCTTCACATGTTAGTGGTTTTCTTTGTAGGAGATTTCAACCTTGAGGACAAGTTTTTTTGATAGTCTAAGTTGAAAACTTTCAGTAAAGTACTAAGGTGAACATCCTCCTTTACGGAGTTGCGAAGAGCTCCGTAGCGGTTGATTTATAAAGGGTAACAGCTTAAACACAATTGGAAACTCGTTCTTTGTTCAGCTCACCTTTCCTGGCTCTGCAGATAGTGAGAAAAACTCCAAACCATGCAAACTCGAGAAATTTCATTTCAGCCCGCTGCTCCTTAAACAAGTTGCAACCCTTTCAGAGGATCGAATGTGCTCTCTCCGTGGGCGTTTGTTCGTTGGGTAAAATGGCCCGCCTGATCTAAAAGTGCATACGGCTTTGTCTGAAAACTTATCAGGAGACATATTTCCGTGACATCTTACAGTTTTTTATTTAAACTATGTGACCTCCTTAACTAATGCGTATTTACAAAGTCACTAAGTTCATCGACATTAGATCACGTCAATCGATCGTTCTTTGAAAAAATTAAGATTGGCAACCATTGAAAAAAATGCGAAATTCAGATCAAAAGAACTTCTTACGATATTCTTCAATGGTTAGAATACAAGAGTCCTTCCATTCTGAATTTTGTTTCAACTCCCTTACGTAATCCTTTTAATGGACGATGTTCTGTGTTTAAGTACTTGAAGAAAAAACTGTCAAGACTTCAAGTACACACTTAAAATATTTCTAAAAGCTTAATGGACAATTACAACACACGCCGTCACCCTAAATAAATCCTTTACCAAAATACTCGACAACCGCAAACTAAATTGTGCGATGGCCTCAATCGTAAATGCAATTTACAGATCAATTTTCATTTTCTTTGTTACAATCTGATGGTTTAACTTTTAGAGCGTCTGGAATGGAAACAGGAAATACCGACTTGAAGACTTATTCATATTGACAAATTTGTGTTTTTTTTGTGCGGAGTTTTTTCGCGGTTTGAGGTCAGTAAAATTCTTGCCCTCTAACACTTTCGAGAAGGAAATGGGAAATTCGAGTTACGACACAATCTATTCATGTACTTACTAGATTGTTATAGTGAATACTTTTTTTTTTTTTTGCGTGAGCTTGGTTATTTCTACAAAGACCTAAAAAGTTTCAATGCTGCGTTGGAGAGTTCAGTGTGCTGGTGTTCATCAAATGTTGTTCATATTAGAAAAAAAATAAAAAAGTTACTACGCGCGTTTGGTCAAAACATCGTATGATAGAGAAACCCTTAAGTAACTGAAACTGCGAATTTGCTTAATTAAAGGTTCTTGGCTCGTAGTTTACAAACTTGTCTGCTCGTGTCCTACGAACCTCTCGCATGGTTATCTCGCTAGTAACTGCAAGAGGCCGATTTTCATTCCTTAATAAAAATTTAGAAGGGTTGGCAATTTGAGTGCGTTATTTCGATGACAGGTTGTCAGAAATAAATTGCAAATCTAACATAACATGCGGCCAAATTCTTTCAAAATAGCACAATTTGTTTAAGCAAGTCCATCTCCTGATGTTAAACCGATAACCTTAAAATTAAGGGTTAGCCTTGTTGACAAAATGATCCTACACAAATTAAACCTGGGAACCATCAAGCTCATTCTAGACAGGAACTGCTGAGAAAAATAATCCATATTCAAATAACACAATTAGGGAAAACTTCAACAACGGATTACGTTGTAAGTCAAAACGGAAAGCTCGTCTCCATCACGCGGAGGCTGAGAGGAATTTATCACTTATCAACGCTCTCTATCTTTAGAACTACATTTATCATACGCCGGTTTTTGGTTACCCTTACAAATTTTGAGACCGATAAACTTGCCCAACAACCTGTACCATGAAAATTAAGAATTGATTCGGTCTGTAAAGATAAATGGGTTTGTAACATCGTAGGCTTAAATGCGATACTGCGAGGTCGCTTCAAGAAAGCAAGCAATTAACACCCAGAACATTCTCATAAGTTGAAGGCAGTTACTTCAATAGCTTTAACTTGCATCAAGAACTCGTGTTATCTGTATCTTTTTCCCTCTTACGCGTGCGCCGGTGGGTTCCTCCCGTGGATCTTCTACAATACGCTTTAAAAACAAGCGCCTTGATACGGACGGACGAATTCAAATTTTAAAAAGAATCGATGACACTTTGCGGGAGGCCAAACGATTCTTAGCCGGCTTTTTTTTTTTCCTTTTTCATTCCGTTTTTTTTTTATATCATTCTCCGCTTATTTTCAATTGTGAGATAAGATCAAAATATCAGCACTGGCTAACTGCATTAAAAGGGTTGGGCGCCTTCAGGCGTGTTTTGAGCTGGACACATACCAGACGTTAAAAGAAAAAGATGCAAGTGTAACAACTGCCCAGGAAAAGTTATTTTAGGGCCGGCTCACCTCATGTCCCGAATATCCTTGCGTTTGCCTCGTTTTTTTTTTTTTTTTCTCTGACGCCATAGCTTTCACCTAGTGATTACGTGCAAGTGATTACGTGCAAGTGATTCAGTGATGGACTTAGCATACTGATATTAACCTTGAAAGCCGATTGCACATGGTACGTGACGGGCAACTGCTCTAGGTAGATTTCGTGAGTGTTCAACCGAAGCGACTTATGAACAAAACAGGATATGCTGCACAGGATATATATGAATGCAACAGGATGTGATAATAAATAATATATAATTGGAGGATTTTTTTAAAGGCAACATGACCAATTTAGTCTACGATTAAATACTTGTGGCCACGTATAAATACATTAGATATTCCATAATGAAGCTCACCTCTTTTACATCTGTTATTCAACGTGTTATCTACTCATGTAAGATGTGGGTTGATTAAAATGTTTTCGAGATAATTTGTGAATTCACCTCGTTCAAAACAAAACGTGACTTGAAGTCTTGCCAAAATTCCGGGCCAAAATTCCGGGCCAAAATTAGAATAGAAATCTAAATTGGAACTTCAAGCGGTCTGTAATTCCTGATCGCTTTTTCAACGCACTGATTCAGGTATGCAGCAGTTAACTTTACATCATCAATCATACTAGCAAAATAGTCCATCCTAGTAAAGTTCAGCTCATTAAAATCCAATCACTTTAAATACCAAGAAAATGTCTCGCAACTGGTCGCTATGTAGGATTGTTCAGGCTTTTTACAAATGGATCGTCATTTTTGCATGTTTCAGGGTTAAGTCTTTCAATCTCCTAATTAGGCAAATGAAATCTTCACAGCAGAATCTCTAAGAAATGAAATTACTGACATAACGAAATGCCTCGATGATTACTTTAAACGTCTGTGAACAATCAACAATAAAACTTATTGAAGGATTCTTCCCTGGCTAACATGGCCTCCCCTGGCCTGGCTAACATGGCCTGTTTTCTGTCCCTACCAATGAAAGACATCAATCTTCTAATCATAGGAAAAGACATCTGTTTATGTGAGTGGAAAATTCCTTTAAAACACTTACACATAGCACTCTGTGAGCCGAAAAAACAAGCAATGAAACTGAATTCAATGATAAATACGTTCAAACCTACGTAAATCAAGACACGATAGTTCATATGAGGGAATTCTTTGTTACGAACTCACCCCCCCCCCCCCAATAAAGGATACTCCCCTTTAAAACTGTGTAGGTATGTGCTTCCCCTCTCCACCCCTTTTGAAATCCAGAGAGGAAAGAGAATTTAAACAGGTGCGACATATTGAAGAAATTACGTGGATGATGTATTACGCCAGAATGAGGCAGCTCGCTCAGGTCTACGAGTTCGTGGCTGGAACACTTTCAGTATTTGAATGTACTTTTACAGCAAATAAATCATTGAAAATTCTTAAGCAATATGTTCACTTCACTCAGCAAGGTGAAGTCTCAAGAGGAGATTCGAGCGGTACAGCCTCAACAAGAATTCCGGGAAGTACCTCCATCCCTCCATCCGATATTCCCATTTTTTAACTTTCATCCTCTTTCTCCTCCTCTTCTTTCGAACCCCTCGTTCCATTCAAATGTGACCCAGTCTCCTTTTCTGTCGAGTGGCCGTTCGTGAGGACAGGGCCTGGTTCAGTTTGGTCACAGTCGTCAAAGCGCAGTCTCTTCTGTGGTACCTTAGGTTGACTGTGTACTGCTGCTCGTACGGAGGCATTGATTCTTGAGAGGCTCTCACGGTCAGCGGACTGAACACAAATAGTAATATTTTAGAAATAAAAGTCATACAAATAGAACAACTGCATGAAACAACGACGACCCACCGTACCCCCCTCCCGCATCCTTCCAACCGCAGGGGTAACATACGCATGCGTACGTTTAGACCTGTAGTCCCATCTCACTTCCGGAGTCGCCCCGATCAACTAGCTTAACGACATCTGGGGTGATTGGTACCAGAGTCTGCGTAGGAATGTATATTTACTTACCCCTGGAGACTCCCCGAAGCTGAACGATGACCTACAAAATAATTGAGCAAAAAGTTAGAAAAAGCAAGTCCTAAAAAATAATTTTCAACATCGAAAACGAGAGTAAGCTTTTTCAGTGCCCCATCACTTTTAAAGTGATACCAATTTAAATGAAGGATCAAGTAAAGTTTAACTGTTATTTCTTTCACTGGTTACTTACCTTGATTTTGGAGTTAAAGTTTCGCCTGGAGAGCTTCGTAAAGGAGATAAATAAAAATTCTTCTTCCCTGGAACCCTGGTAACCGAAAATTGAATTTTAAGCGGAAAAAAAAATTAAAATGTACATGGTCAAAGAGCACACCAAATGACCGAGAATGTTTCTCGAGGATCTAAACACACAAGTTTCATAAAGAAATCGCATCAACCGATTAGTCTTAAAACACACGCACAACAACAAGGAACAAAATGACACTGTACCTTACTGCGCTTCTTGGAGCAGGTGAAACAGGAGGATTCTGTGCGAAAAAAAACATGATCCCTTCAACACACAAAACTGAGTTAAACTACAGATTACATGTCAGTTTGAAGCCATGATTACTTAAGTTACGTTTTGTTATATCAGATATTCGAGCAAAATCCGCGGGCAATCATCAATTTCAACTCATAACACAGCTGTTGGATCGAGTGTAATGATAAGTGTGCCTCCCACATGAAGCAATTGAGCTTTGGATCGACAGGTCCGCGTTCGCCCCCCCTCCCTGGCCAGGACATTGTATTGCGTTCTGAGGAAAGACACTTTACCCTCATCGTGCGTCTCCCTGGAAAAACTGACAGGATGCCAGGAGGGGAGAACCATCAATGAGAAAAAGGAATACTCTTAGTAACTACATGCTATGGACACCGCCGTAAGATTCGACAGTATGGGCCACTTCATTCGTGCGCTGACTCCAATTAACAATAAAAACAAAAACAGGTTTGCTTGCCTTGTTTGGTGCAAATTGAAGAATGGTGGACTTCATTGTCACCATGTACACCTTGTTGTAGAATTCAATGATTGATTGTTGTTCTCTGCAGGACGTTCCTTTGTACACCTGGTGGAATTAACAGAACAGCGTAACTTAAATCGGTCTTGACTTAACCATTTACACCCAAACGTCAGCATTCATATTCTTCTGCTGGAGAATTAGTTTAACAATCACAGCACTAGCTTCTGTTGTTGGCATTCATTGCCTTTATTCTTGTGATCTTAATAAATTATTCAGCAGTGTTGCTGTAATGAAAAATTAGATGCTGGTCACTCTCAGGGTTGAAAGGGTGAAATGGATACTCCACAATCAGTTTCCGAGTAAGGACTGGAACTGAATAAATGATTTACCGAATTACTTACCGAAATAATTTGGTAATATCGACCAAGTTGAAATTGTAAATTGGCCACCGTTATGAGTTAAAAAGCTGACGTTTCGAGCGTTAGCCCTTCGTCAGAGCGAACGACTAACGTTCGAAACGTCAGCTTTTTAACTCTTTACGTTGGCCAATTTACAATTTCAACTTAGTTGATATTTCCAATTTACCTTGTTACCCCCACTGACGCAGCATCACAGTTTCTTTAGAAACTTACCCCCTTTAGCTATTTACCGAAATAATTTATTCAGTTCCAGTCCATACTCGGAAACTTGATTTTGGAGTATTCATTTTAGTCACCACCAACTCAAATTATCAAGTCATGGTTAATATCTATTATTAAAAACTGGATCATTGGATAATGCAATTCAAGACTTTTTATTGGCTTAGCCATTATGGTATATGAGCCAATATACCATAATCTACAAATATCGTAAGCATACACGTCAGCTTAAAATTAAAAGGGAGGTAAAAAAGTTCTCGTGGAATAATTGTTAATTATCATTATATGGCTGTGTCTCACAAGGACTGGGAACTACCGAATTCACGAATTTGATTGGCTGAAATCAATATTGAAAGCGGTCTAGATTTTCCCATCTAGACCGGCATCTAGACCGGTCTAGAAAAAAAAGGTACAAAAAAATTGGCATATAAGACACAGTCATATAATAAACATCTTATCAACCGAGCTAGGTCAGTCTGTATGGGAGAATCTTGACCTCAGTCACTGGTACAGACCTCGGACAAGATTCTCCCATACAGACCTCCCGCTCGGTTAATAAGAACTAATTAAAAACTGGAGCATTGGATAATGTAATTCAAGACTTTTTATTGGCTTAGCCATTATGGTATATGAGCCAACATACCATAATCTAATAACTGTACATTGTAACATCCGGTTTCTTTTTACAAAATAAAGTCGAGAAGATTTGTCTAATACCTTGGGGGGCGTTTTTTTTTTTTAATAAAAAAATTATTCTGCAACGATGTACCCACATCCATAGCTCACTACAGGGCCAAATGATCCAAGGCTATTGATCTATCAGGGAAGCTCGAGTTTCATGACCAAAGAAAATTCAATAATAAAACTTGTATGCAAAAAACTTTTATTGTTTGACTGATCGAGAAATGGTCGTCTTGAGAAAAATTCTCCATTTCAATATAGCTCATTTTTTATCTTCCTTCTGTCAGAAATCGACAACAAAATTAAAATGAATAAACGAACGAATGCATGGATGACTAAGCGAGAGCTTAACTGAGTAACAAAAATACATTTTGTCATCGGAAACTTACCTGTGCCGATGAAAATGGCAATCGTTTGTAGACAGTGACAATCTGTTTAAATTGAATTTCCTTTCCGACTACTTTAGAAATGGCGTACACTGCACACAAAAACATCTGTAAGAGAGTTGAAGTTATTATCTCTCATATTCGTGAAATACCATCATAACAAAATTTCAATAATCTAAATCTCTGATTGTACATGTCTGATTTCCAATTACCGCTGCTGTATTGGGATGTTTTAGGTGAAATAGCCCATGTAGCTGGTGCTCTGTGAGAAACACACACAAGAAGTACGCGCGCGAGAAATCAGACAGTGACCTGGTGATCAGAATCAAGTATTCGACGACCAGCCACGGATGGGAAAAGTGAAGCCTCGTGAAAGCCCATGTGTTTTTTAAACTCTTTCTCACCCAATATGTAGATATCAATTCTCCTCGATGCCTGCTATACATTTATCTATAATTTACGCTTAATATTAAGTCAAACAATATCATCTGGTTTATATTTTCCGTTCTTTCCATTTTTTTTTTCAAAAAAAAATTGTTTCTTAAAAAAAAATCCCAAAATTACAAGGTACTTAATGGTTGCATAATTCACATTTTATCTTGTTTTGTATTTTTAGTTTGTCAAGCGTTTTTAACATGACCCTCTGGCGTGGACGATTGTGCAAACACTTCCCACGTCTTCGACATTAAATAAATCATTCTATTCTATTCTAAATTCTCTTTGTTTGAATTTGTCTTGAAAATTTAAGGAGAAAGTTCTCCAGGGAATGAAAGAGTTAGAGCCTTAATAAATGCAGCGACTTGTAAATGTACCTGGTCCAAGTGACGGTCAACCATCAACTGCCACTGCAATTTAAGTGACTGTTCCAAGCATGTCCACATGTGACCAACCTGACGGACGAATTTTAAGCACGTGTTAACAATAACATACTTTCGATATACTACTTGTTTAAAGGCCACTCTGGAGAGAGAAAACAATTTTAATCCGAGGGATTAACCATTCCTGACTACAACTTTCCTTTTCTTTTCTTTTTTTTTTTTTTTTTTTTTTTTTTTCTGTTTTGTGCCTTCGGGTAACTTGATATCAATCTTTAAATGTACAGTGTTCGTAATGTTATTTCGTTCTTGGAACTTCTTGGAATTCCTTTGACGACATTCTTGTAAAAAACAGGTAACGAAATGGGTTAACCTTTTAAATCATAAATTGACATCCGTCCGAGCGCAAACAGCCTGATGGGAACTCTCACACAATTTTGCGCCTGTTTTAGTACAGGGTTTAAGAGGCCATTACGATCAGCACCACAATACTGCACATGTCATACTTACCAGCGTGTCACTGATGTCAAGTTTATTACAAAGCGTTGTTAAACGATGGTAGGCCAGCTGGTTTACTGCAGATATAAGAAAACAGGCAAATTGACATAGTTCTTCGCAAGTTGGCAAGTTGGGGCTTTAGCTTAGCACTAACCTCTTCTCAAGAACAAATCTAGAGGCTGCGACTTCTTTTGCTGCTGAACAGAGCCTCTATGACAAAAAAAGTGATGACAGTGAAAAATTACGTACAACAAAGAAATCACCACAGATACAGTGGTTCCAGGCTCTTTTCCCACAGAAACACAAAATAAGTCTGCCAAAAATTGTATTAAGCGCATTTGTACGGCTAAATGGCAGCATCCTTGCACAAATACTTACACTGCTCCTGGGTCAGAGTGGGGATGATAGATTTCCATTGCTTTTAACAAAGGTGAACCCTAGAAATGAGAACAGGAAACAACAATGAAATAAGATTGTTCATGACCACAGAGTAAACTACATGTAAATTACACAACCTCGTAATAAATCTCTTAGGTCTTCAACTCCCTTGGAAGTCTGGTAAGGGGGAACAAGGGGGAAAAATGGGGGAAAAGGGGGGAAAAGGGGGGAAAAGGGGGGGGAACTCCAGGATGTAACTGATCTGCTCTCACCAGTTTCCATGCCAAATTCTCCAGCACTTGTTCCTCTATTCGATTTATATGCTGAAAAAATAAAAAGTTGACGTTATGTCCTGATGATGGAAAGTAGCCACCAAAAGTTCCAAATACCATGCAGGTCATTGGTACAATGTTTACCTTAATTAAACTGCTATTAAGAAGTGGCTCATGAAGAATGAAACTTTCAGTGACCTTGAAAAAATCAAATGCCTAAAATGTAAAAGAACTTTCAAAATCAGTCACATGTCAACTCAGAGGTTCAAAATGCAGCTACTTCGATTTTGCATTTCAATCCTATTGGTGATGCAGGAAAAACAGAAGTACCATTTTGGATCAAACCCTTTCAATTCTAAGTTTCAGGTGTCAACTCTTTGCTTTGTCTGTTGCAGATTGCATTGTTGTTTAGCTCTGCGAATTTAGTGTTAACAATGTCTTCCAGTTAATATTTTTCTTGTTACCTCATCACCTTTTTATTTAAAAATACATTCATGATATTTTGAGGAGAAAAATTCTTTTTGGATCTCCCTTGGAAGTGAAAGGGTTAATTTACGAGGAGACAAAAATGTCAAAACAAACTGTAAATACTGAAATAAAATTAACTATGGTGTATTACCTCCAACTTCAAAATGCCGAGAATCCAAGGAAATGCTAAAGTTGGCCCTGAAAATTATTGTATCGTAAATGAAACACATTGACATATTGCTGCTCTTACAGACATTCAAGGGATGTTTGAACCTGGATAATGACATTATCCAGTGGATGCACATGGTTTGAATGAATTATTGGTCATTCAAAGCTCTTACATAACTTTCAATAAAGGATCAATCCAGTAAAAGCATTACATACATGACAATCCTTTGTCCGCCATAACAACTTCAAGAGAACAGGCCAAAAGGGAAACATGGAATGCTTCACTATTCAGTAAAGCACTGACAACATGAAAACAAACAATTAGTGCATGATTAAGAAATATAATACATCCCACCTTTTCCAAAATTGAATAATTAGTCACAGTTCTGTAAAAAAAACATCTTAATAATTGTAAAGAGCAGATATTTGGAGATAACTACCTGAAATCACTACAAGATAATCTTTTCTCTTCCTGAAAGACACAGAAATAATTCTTGAAAAGAACAGTTTGCAATTTGATTTCAACTTTACTCTGAGTAGCAGCTTGCATAACTTTCTTTCTATTTGTGAATAAGCAGAGGACCTTACCGAGTAGGTTATGTAATGTATGGACATAAAATATGTATTACTGTAAGTTAAACAGACATTGTTACAGCCAACAAGTAAGAAAAAGACATTAACTCACTGCTAACAGCATAGCCTCCATTACTCTATAATAAAGTTTCTTAGCCAGGACAAAAATCTGCAACAACCACAAAACATATTAGATTTAAACAGATAAAAAAGGTTAAGTTTGAGTTCAGTCATCAAAGAAAAAAAATATCACAATTTATGACCTTCCTTTATATCTTCTATGAGCCACGCGACTCATGATCAAAGGAAGATCTTACATGGAGCGGTTGAAATCTCTCCATCTTCTAACCCTTAAGTCTAGAAGGACTCTACTTGACTTGATCTTCTTTTACAAATGTTTAAAGGGACTCTTAAATATTAACTTATCTAGTTTTATTATTTCTAGAAAAAATGCAGCATATGAACTATGAAATGCTGATTTGTCATTTAAAACTCAATATGCGAGAACAAACATGCTAAAATATTCCTATTTCCATAGAACAGTTAAAGCCTGGAATTGTTTACCTGTGCATGTCAGAAAGTCTGAGTCTCTTTCTGATTTTAAGAGTCTTTGTAAGGCTTATTTATACCAGTTAGACACTGAATTAACCTAACTTATTATTATTATTATTATTATTATTATTATTATTATTATTATTATTATTATATTATTACAAATATATATAGGTATGTGTAGTGTTTTTCTTTTTTGGGTGGCCTTTTGTAAGGGAACCCTTTCCTGTTTCTTGGCCTTCCCCCTCAGCTTTCTATATATGTTACGCTTGTTGAGAAAATGATTAAAGTAAAGTAAAGTAAAGTAAAGTTCTATCAAGCAGACAAGTGATGAGAACAAAGAAAATATCACTCGACCCGACTAGTGATTCAATACCAAGTTCTCAGAACAAACATCATCAGCAGTGTATGACAGACAATGAAGTGAATTACCAAATAACTGAGATCTTTTTTTTTTTATTTATTTATTTTTCATTTATAACAACTTTATTGTAATAATACAAAAGGCTGCCATCAGAGAGGAACTGAATCCTCATCTAAGATGACCCCCAAAAATATCTATAAAGCTATGAAGGAAATATAAATCGGACAAAAAGTATTTGTAAGGAAAAATGTACAAAATATCACTAAAATGTATCTATCAGAATGGAGTTGTTAAAATCATCTAATTAATTATGCAATCGCAACAATTTTATATTCATCACACACTAGTTAAAAAGTGTTCTCTTAAGCCCTTTTTAAAATTTGACAATGAATCAGCACATATTAGAGAATCTGGTAACAAGTTCCATTTATCTATATATCTATGCCAGAAAGAGAATTTTAAGATATTAGTTCTTGAAAAAGGTTTCCAAATCTTCCTACCATTTCTTGATCTAGTGCTAGCACAAGAGAACAATAAATAATTATCAAGCTTAACTCTTGAGAAACCATTATCTTGGGAGTGAAATTGTTAAAAATAGTAATAGCCATATAAAAGCAAAATACCTGAATTGAAATATTACTGTCCCCTTCACAAACTGCTGTGTCATCAAATCCTTTCAGGAAACAGTCCTGAATGGCTAAAAATTTCAGCTAAGTCAATCAACAAATGTGATTATCAAATACTTCTCAGATCCTATTTAACGGTACGTGAAAATCATGATGTTTATTTAATTCTTACATATAGTATATATAATTCAAAAGTTTAAAAGAAAATTCACATCTTACATGTTAATTTGGCTTGTATGAGACTCAAAGGATTTCTTCGGCAAGACTAATTTAAGGAGAAAATACATCATTACTGTAAATCTGAGATTTAAAATTCATGGATAAGTAAATAGACTTGAAATGTAAACTTTATACACCGAATACAAATATGGCGTCCAATTTGAATTGCCATTGTTCTGGACTTACTAGCCTCGTCTTCACATAGAAACACAAAAGGATTATTACATGTGTGAGAGGCTAGTGAGTCCAGAACAATGGGAACTCAAATTGGATGCCATATTTGCATTTGCCATATGAAGTACGAGACCAAATATTATGACTTTTGTTTGACTGATTGAAGACCAATCTCAGCCTAATAAACAAATACTGAGAAAGGGCCATGATTTTATCTTCATAATCTTTAGAAACTGTTAATGCTGACTGATTTTAAAACAATTTGGCTCTGACCCTAGATTTCAGGTCAAAGCAGTGAATTCGTCACAGATCATCCCTTACATTTAAGAGACTGGCAAGGATCTGGAATGATATCTTCATTACTGGTTATTCATATTGGCAGGAATTCTCTACCTCAGCCTCAAGCTTCTATTTGATAATCATATGAAACACATAATATGGGTACATTGTTTCCAAATACTTACTCCCCAGAACCTTATCAGTTCTTGACCTGGCAGATGACTGAACACAAAATATAAAGAAAATTTGTGAAATAAGATTTCCCGCAATCAACATGGACATGTACAGGCAGACAGTTGCATTACTTCATTTACACACTTGGAGTGATACATTTAAAACTGAGAACCAGTATATCAATACTGCCCTGTTGTAATCTCTGGTGTGCAAGTGGACTATACACCCAGTTAAGCTAGCTCACCTCGATCTCTAAAATCAACAAATGGTTAACACCACAGCGTACACTATTGAGTTATGGATGCACGCGGAAAAATAGTCTTTGCATTTGCTCACGTCAGCAGCATACACCCATGGGCAAATGGGGGACGCTAAATTGACCAATCAGAGCGTGCGCTTTACTTTGGTTATGTTATAAATAAGATTGTGTTACGTACATGGTTGGTTTTTACACAGTTCAAAATGTACTAGTAAGTAAGTATATCAGTAAATTGCTTTTTTTTTCTCCTAGAGTATTTGGTACTTAATGGAATTATGATTGACTACATAACAGTTCAAAGAACAAAGGTTAGGTTAAATTAGAAGGGTATATCTACTTGTTAGTTTGCATAACACATTACATGACAAGAAATTTTAAAACATCTCCCTACAAGTTGTATAATTGATGTACATATTCACTGTGCATACATAGTACCTCCTTTCTTCAAGTGTCGTTCTTAAGTCAGTGAGTGACGATGAGCTTTGTGGGAAGGAATTTCTGCTGTACATGAAAAAATGAAAACAAGCAGAGGAGCATGTGCCAACGACTTATACATACATACATACATACTTTGTTTGTCACATAGGTTGATAAAAGGCAGCTAAAAAGCTAATGTGGACCTAAAAACCAAAGTCTATCTACAAAATTTAAATAATAATAATAACAAACTTGTGAATTTATGGTAAGTAAGAAAAGATGTAATACCTAGTAAGATAATTTACAGTTGATCGACTGTAGTGTTAAAAATAAATAAAATAAATAAAAATAGTAAAATAACATTAATATATGTAATTTATAATGTCTTTATTTATTCCCATTAAATGTTACTTTATCTAAAATGTTGGATTTTGCTTTAAGAGCAGATTTAAAAGAAACAGTGTTCGGTTTGCTCTTTAAGTACATGGGTAAGTTGTTCCATAGAATAGACGCGTGGTGAGAGAAGGAAGATTGACAGAAGTCACTTTTAGGGCATTGCACGTATAGTTTCAGACTGTCCCTTAGATTTCTCAATGGAGAGCGTTTAATAAATAGAGAGCTTATACCAGGCGGAGCTCTATTGTAAAATGCCTGATAAGATATGTTGCAATCCTCTTTTGTAGATGTATGATAAGGACTTCCATTTTGTTGCTGCCAGGACTTCAGTGTTGGGGGTAGATTCCTTTAGGTTAAAAATAAATCTTGTGGCTCAAATGTGAATGTCCTCTAGGGTCTGAAGTGACTGTGAAAATCCCCATAGTGCAATCGAATACATAATACTTGGAATAATACCTTTGAAATAAATTGACTCAAAGATGCGATTGTTGCATGAGTCCTTTTAAGTGTTTGAGTTTCTTCACTCTTGCTGAAAAATGCTTGCTCAAAGATTTTACTCGTGGCGACCAAGAGTGTTTATTATCGATAAGAATCCCTAAACATGTAGCTTTGAAAACAAATGACAACTCATTTTGCCCTAAACAAATTTTCTGTAAGGGTCCGATGAATTTTGATTTTGATAACAACATTAGTTCAGTTTTTGCAGGATGAATAGTCATGAAGTTATCCTTAGCCCATTTGTTTAAGTCGGCGATCGCTTTCTGTATCTTAGATAAGACTTCATCAACAGTATTTCCAATGCAGAAAACTGTAGTATCACCTGCAAACATTTCAACGGAAGCATTCGTCGTGGCTCCAGGCAGACCATTTGAGTAAATGCTGTAAAGTCTGGGACCAAGTAAAGACCCTTAGGGCACACCAGTATCTATTTCCAAACATTCTGAGTTTGAACCATTTACGGTGACAAATTGTTTACGATTTTCAAGGTAATTTAGGAGCCAATCGTAAAAGGAGCCACTAATGCCTATAGACTGTAATTTATCCATGAGAACAGTATGGTTGACACAATCAAACGCTTTCTGAAAATCTATGAAGACTATGCCAATAATATTGATTTCATCCAAGGCTAAACGCCATTGTTCTGTTTAAGTGAGAGTAAAAGAAGTTCAGGTGAGCTTCCTTTTCTGAAGCCCCATTGATTCAAGGAGATTAGATTGTTGCCATATAATTTTCATCACTGAGTATGTTCCCACTAAAGAAAATAAGATATCTTCAAAGAAAATCACCTTAATTAAGAAAAAGGATTAGTGCCAAAGATCTGTACCTTAGTTCTGAATCAGCTTTTGAGGAATCCAAAACAGGTTGAAATTCATCATGGAGAGAAGTATTGGTACACGGAGTTCCACCATTTAGAGTTCCAGCACTACATTGAATAAATCAAATAACTAGCTAGTCTCACATTTTGTAAAAATATTATTAGTGAGGTAAATATGAGATTTTCTGCACCTTTCATGTTCCACTTTGCTGGCTTCTTGATTGAAAGGAATCCACAAATAGCCATTTTTGTCAAAGAAGTCCCTCTCATCAACATCTCCAGATCTTGTGTAGACTTCCTCATATATAGAATTTAAATCACCAATCTGCAGTCAGAGATGGTCAAAAACACAAAATTTACTGTGTGAGTCACTTTTTGTTTGATATTCAATATCAATTTACCATACAATAATAAAATCGTTATGTTTATTATTTTGGAGTGTGTGCATTTGAATAAAAACAATAAATGCAACTTGACTTGGCTTCTTACTTTTATAGTGCTGGGTACCTCTTTTTAATGAGTCAATATTAACACCAGATTCATTGATAACCATGTCATGATTTTACAAATTGGCATGGCAACAAAATGACTAATCCAAGCACTTTAAATTTATTTCAACAGCATGGGTACAACAGCACAGGTATAGTGTACTTACTTTCACCAAGTTCCTTGCATTTCCCTGGGGAAGTAATGAAACAGGAAGGAAAGAAAATAATTCATATACATGTACAAAATGTGGTTTAAAAGTTAAGGTAGAGGTAGACTTTGTCCAGCATTAATGTACAGTACAGAGAATGTTGTTTGAGGTCTTGCTCTGGTATAATCTTTGGAATGGGGTCTCCTTTAGCTATAAGGATTTGTTCAACAAGTTTTATTCATGGTAACAGTTTTGTGTTATTATACTTTATTTATTTAGTAAATGATAAATACAATCATGTAATCAACAAAGTTACATACTTGAACCTCAAAAAACTTCTCCAAAAATGGTTTAAAGTGCTGTGAATAGATTAAGGCAACCTATAAAAACAGCACAAAAATATATTTTGCTTGTTAAAAGAAGCAAAGGTTAGTGATTTGTGCTAATTAAATTCCATGATATAAACCACTGAGTTTAATTTCTTAATGCTTCATCATGACAACCTGAGACAGAATGAAAATATACAATTTGCTTCAACTACAAGTAGTTATATCTCTTTTATACATACATTTGAAAGAGGTACAGTCAATTCCTCACATAGATTGGGAAGAATTCCATCGTGCTAAATTCAAGAGAAGCCAGGAATTTGATTATCACACAGAAGAGTACAAGTATGAAAATAATTATTAATTTTGCTTTAAAGATTTACATGTATACGTATGATGGATGTATTGGAGAACCCTGCTGGAAAATGCAAACCAGTTCAAGACAAAGGGAGTTTGAGCTAGCTCATAGACCTGATAGTATGTTCTCTGAGCCTGAGTTAAGAATCAAAGTAATAGCTTTCAGTTTGTCAGTGGAAAGCTAATAGTTACCAGTTTTAAGGGAGTGATAGTTTTATGGTGCCCCAATGACCTACACACTTAAAACATGCTTATTATTTGACTTTGAAATGTTGACTTACCACACTTTCTTGAATATTTGTCCCTGAGAGATTTGTACAAGTCAAAAATGAGAAACAATGTCAGTATTTGACAGAAAATAGCATGGAAAAAAGCACCTGAGAATAAACTAGAGACTTGAGTATACAAAAAAGGACAGCTTTAGAGAAGTGACAAATGAACTATCCTAGGAGCAACCCCTCCTTGTCTGAGTAAAATTAATCTGGAGTTGGAGTCCTCCACTTTGAATTTGAATAAAGAACTTACCTTCCCCTGTCTGTAGCTGCTGCACAAATTTATTGTGTACATAATCCACACAACACAACAAGAGATTGAATGCTGTCATCAGTTCTTTCACCTGGTTAGAATTCCAGCCTAAAGAAATTACAGATAGGAGAATTCAGAAACTGCAGTTTCAGCTAACCAATTGATTTTTTCCCAGGGAGGTGCATCACCAAAATGATTCCAGCAGATGGATTATCAGAGAAAAGAAATTCAGGAGACTATGCCAGAGCCCATAAGAAGCAATGCAGAGCAGGTTAAAAAGGATTATTCTTCAGAAAAGGACCTTCTTCAGAAACAACATGTATTTCCACAGGATAATCATTATACAAAAATTCAACTGAAATAATAGGAATTCAATGTAAACAGAAGGTTTTGAGGCCAATGAATACATTTAAGATAATGCAGTATACCTTGAAACAACAAAGTGCTGTTAGATTGAAGAAATAAGGTTGTATTCAATCAAACTATTACTAAATAAATACCAGTATAATTATGTAGTTTATGACAAAAGCATGATATATTGTACCTTTGTAGACAAGATATAAAAGCCAGCATGTTTTACTTAATGTTTCCCTTCTCTCTTCACTGCCAAAATATAATCAGTCAACTCAAAATTCAATAATAAAATACACAATTTCATTTCCTTTCTGCAAAGCCTTCTTTTATAACTTTATGGACTTAATTTTTTGTCATTACAATACAATACAATACAATATTCTTTATTTAACGAAGGT